CGGACTCATAGTCCAATACAATTAAATAAAAATAAAGGACAAGACAAACAATTAAAATGGCATTTTAAAAAGACAACCATGCCAATGTTTCCACAAGTCAGATTGATACCGTGTCGCACTCCATTTTATATTCGTGAGGGACACTATTATTTCATTTTCAGACGTGTTCAATCGACACATAAAGCTGTACATCAAAGTTCGTAGCACGGCCTGTAAAGTGTTCACTCTGGCATTAACAAACATTTCTGTGGCACTTGACCATCTCGGCTTTTTCAAAAGCACACGCAAAGCATCATTATAGGCCACCTGGAGCTTACGCATGCTGGCTTTCTTATAATGAGACCAGAGATGAGCTGTGTATAAGGGAGTACAGTACGCTTTAAATAACGTTAGCTTCACTCTCTCTGTACAACAGCCAAACTTCCGTGCCAGGGTATTAGCCTGGGCATACAACACTCTGCATTGTCTGTAAATGTCATCATCATCAGACATGTCCTCAGTGATGATGTGCCCGAGGTATGGGGTGCCGATTGTAAAAATTCTGTTAAAATTTTTTAGCTGAACATTTTTCTACATTTAGCTCACTTTCCTCACATTTAGCACATTTTCCTCACATTTAAGACATATCTATATCTAAATATTATATCTATATCTAAATGTTAAATGTTATATCTAAATATTATATCTATATCTAAATGTTAAATCTAAATGTTAAATCTAAATGTTAAATCTAAATGTTATATCTATATCTAAATGTTATATCTATATCTAAATATTATATCTATATCTAAATGTTAAATGTTATATCTAAATATTATATCTATATCTAAATGTTATATCTATATCTAAATGTTAAATCTAAATGTTAAATCTAAATGTTAAATCTAAATGTTAAATCTAAATGTTAAATCTAAATGTTAAATCTAAATGTTAAATCTAAATGTTAAATCTAAATGTGTCGCCAAGTGTAAAGCTAAATATATAGAAACCACGCCCACTGAGGTGGCTTCAAATCCAGTGGGCCCGCCTTCCGTGCCGTGTGGTGAGAACCCTACAGGATTACACAGGAATCTCACGGGACTCCACGTGGCTTAGTTTACAGTGAATACACTCTGGCTCCAGCAAATAAGCAAGAATCTTCACAAAAATGCTAATTTTGTGCCGTGGCCAAGGACGATGGCGCCGGAGACCCAACATGCTGTCAGGGATTCAGCAGACAGAGACGGATCGTGGTGCGCCAAACTCTGGAAGTTTATTTAAGTTTCTCTCAAGTTCCAATGGTTTACTTTGTTCCTTTCTCTCAGACAGAATAAAGGCAGTACACAGTTTATATAGTCATTGTCACGTCACACATCGAAAGACATACGTGTCACAAAGAGAGAATGCAAATCATAGTCATAACATGGAGTCCTTGTAGAGTCCTGCACGTAGGCCATATTGCTATCTAATACTAACAATGCCTTGAGCCGTGACGTCGGTCCACGTGTATTCCTATGTTCAAAACACGCGGCACCGCCCCCACTCACCACACGGCACGGAAGGCGGGCCCACTGGAATTGAAGCCACTGCAGTGGGCGTGGTTTCTATATATTTAGCTTTACACTTGGCGACACATTTAGATTTAACATTTAGATTTAACATTTAGATTTAACATTTAGATTTAACATTTAGATTTAACATTTAGATTTAACATTTAGATTTAGATATAACATTTAGATATAGATATAATATTTAGATATAACATTTAACATTTAGATATAGATATAATATTTAGATATAGATATAACATTTAGATATAGATATAACATTTAGATATAGATATAACATTTAGATTTAACATTTAGATTTAACATTTAGATTTAACATTTAGATTTAACATTTAGATTTAACATTTAGATTTAACATTTAGATATAGATATAACATTTAGATATAGATATAATATTTAGATATAACATTTAACATTTAGATATAGATATAATATTTAGATATAGATATGTCTTAAATGTGAGGAAAATGTGCTAAATGTGAGGAAAGTGCGCTAAATGTAGAAAAATGTTCAGCTAAAAAATTTTAACAGAATTTTTACAATCGGCACCCCATACCGAGGTACTTGATTTTGGTGACAACATGCAAAACATCATTACACAAACAAAAGTTAGGAAATGTCAGGTTCTTATCTTCCTTGGTTTTAGAAATCATAACCACACTCTTCGAACTATTGTACTTAATATCATGTTCCAGACCATAAGTTGAGCAGATATTAAGGAGCTGCTGTAAACCAGCCGTACTTGGACTAAACACGACTAAATCATCTGCGTACAAAAAATGGTTCATAATAGTTCTTCCAGAGACACAGCCAGTGTGACAGTCTTTGAGTTTAGATGACAGTTCGTCTAGATACAGGTTAAATAACACTGGGGACAGAACACCCCCCTGTCGGACCCCATTGCTCACTTTAAAAGGGGTAGATACACTGTTCCCCCATTTTATTTGCACTGTTTGCTGTGAGTACCAGTATGCTAAAAAACGCACAGCATAACTGGGTACACCTTTTTGGGCTAATTTCAAGAATAGTTTTCTATGATTGACCCTGTCAAATGCTTTTGAAGCATCCAAAAAGCACATAAAAACAGATGAATTTTGTCTTCTATATTTAGCAATTACCTCTTTAAGTGCATATATACACATGTCAGTGCCTAACCTGGTCTTAAATCCAAACTGGTTATCCGTAGATCTCACAAGTTTGAGAATCCTTTCCAAAAGGACAGCTTCAATGATTTTAGACACTATACTAGCCAAGGCTATCGGTCTGTAGTTATCTGAACAGCCAAGCTTCCCAGTTTTGTTTTTAATGACTGGAACCAATAACACAGCTAACATAGAGTCTGGTATGAAACCATGCACAAGAAAAGCTGTGAAACAGATAGAAAGCAGTGGGGCCAGCCTCACACTTGCAAACTTTAAGTGCTCAGCAGAGATTCCATCCAATCCTGTACTTTTGTTATTAGACAAATTGGTTATTGCCCTAAAGACCTCACTTGTCGTAATTACGTCAACATTGTCAACATCATTTACAGTATAGAGTTCACTCGGAACACAATTAAACAAACTGCGGTAATGTTGCCGCCATAGTTCTAAGATGTTCTCAGTACCAGAGGCACCATCCACCACACAGGGCAGAGATCTTTTATTCAAAGATATTCCTTTCACTTCCTTCCAAAAGTCGTATGTATTGTTACAGGAGAGTTTCCTGGCCATAGAATCAGCTCTCAGCACTCTCTCATTTTTACTGATGTAGCGCACAGCATATTTATACTGGGCATTAGTTAGCCTTTTATGTTCAAAAACAGGCCCATATCGAGGTTTCCCCGCCAGTATCCATTCTGTAGAAGCCTCCCGAGCTCTAGTATAAACATCCGCCACATGATCATTCCACCCAGGCCTTACCCTATTTTTAGATTTTGGTCTTCAAAGGGGTTTACATGACTCGTACAGCACTTTAACAATATCCTCATACATAGAACTGATGACAGATTTGTGATCAGAATTATTGCAGTTACCATCTCTACACATCATAGCCTCTTTTGGCAGATAGATATTACTCAAAAGAGTGTCTGTGTTCATAGTGTACAATAGTATATCCTCACTAGAAAGACAACTCCAATCAATGTAGGATGTACCACTTTTTACAATTTTGTAACTTTCTGTCAGGGGCAGAAAATGACAATTTATTTGCATCCCAAGTGGAATGTGGTCAGCAGTTGCAAATTCATAGTAAATTTTTATATTCACCAGAGACGCATGGGCATCTGCTGTAGCTATGCAGTGGTCCAACCAAGAGGTTGTATGCCACGCCTCACTTATGTATGTAAAGCTATCAGCTGGCAAGAGAGCTTTAGTAGATAATATCAACCCATTATCCTCACAAAATTGGTTCAGATGGCTTGCAAATAATGATTTACTGTCTGAAATATCAGAGTTCATGTCACCAACAACAAATACATTAGAAGACGTTTTATCTTGTATAAAAGAATTAATAAAAGCAAGTCTGTTAAGATATTCCGTTTCATTCTGCTGACACTCATAGGGGGTGTAAACATTTAAAATAACACATTCCTTGTCCTTCAGTGTTAAGTGTAATGCTATACACCAGTCCGCTTCGAGTCTGATAACATTGGCATAAGCGTCAAGTTTTTTATTCCAAAGAACAGCAACTCCACCAGGAATGCGTCCTCGTATTATGCCATCACCAATATCCACGCAGGACTCCCCGGCCCCACTAAAGTTAGCGTTAAGTGAGTTTAGTCCCCCCAAATCCTGTTTAGTTAGAAACGTCTCTTGTAGACAGAGCACATCGCACTGTTCAAGCAGCTGATCAACAACAATCCTTCGGCCTCTATCCTCTGCACTCCGCCCCAAGCGCAGGCCACGACAGTTGTACGACAGTACTTTTATATCCATCGCAATCATGAAGCCTCAATGCCAAGGGCCTGAGCCCCACTCAAAGTAGCACTCGTAACACTAGCCTTGCTGCGAGGCTCATAAAAACGCCGCACATAAGCACCCACAGGCCAAATCTCAGGATTGTACATCTCGGCCACTTCTCTGCACTCCGCCGTAACTTTAAAGGAGGCAAATCTACTGTTTACAGTGACTATCTTCTCGCACACTACCTCACGGCACAATTGATCTCGAAGATACTCCATTAATGTTTGTCCATCTAGGTCAGGCGAGAATTTAGAGGCGAAGACACTCACCAGTTTTGTGGTCACAGTCTTAATGTGGCTTGCTGCTCCTGTGCCCACAATCGCCAAACTTTTTCCAGGCTTTCTCCCTGGCGCGGCGGCGGAGCGTGGTCCTACTACCGTTCTAGCCTCAAGCTGCCGCTTTCCTTTTTTAGCAATAGTACTCCATTTCGGGGACCCAGGATCTTGCAGGGGTTTCTCATTAAGGTTAGCCCCCGTGTTGACGCACAAGGCGAGGGCGCCGTTCCAATCACCCCTCCCAGCACACTCTGCAGCACGCTCTGATCCCTCCGCCGCGTCCACCGCTGAACCGCCGCTCGCCTCCAGCACCGGTGCGCCACACGCGTTATCCCGAGTAGCATTACGAGGCACCTCCACGTGGCCCTCCAGGCTGGACACCCGTTGGCTAACATCCGCTGTAATCATGCGGAGATCCGAACATACGTCCACCTGGACTCGAAGCGCACTCTTCATGGCACCGATATCAGCCTGGAGTTGCTCCATTTTCATGAGCAGTCCGCACACATCCAAGCTTGTAAAGCTCACTGGGGGCAGATTTTCCAGATAATGTGAAACGAAATGAGGAGCCTTTTCACCACACTCATTTAGTACTTTCAAGCAGCTCTTTATGTTATTAATGTCCTTTTGCGCACCTTTATGCGCCACGTTGCGCTGCGTAGTAGGGCACAGCTCAAACAAAACCCGCTTGGAGGCCTCTATCCACTCAGAGTCAAACGTATTTGCTGCCAGTAGAACAATTTCATCCTGGCTTAAAGTTCTTAATTTCACTGCAAGAAAGTTCAGGAGTTCATCCTCCACAATTATTTTACCATCCACGGTTCTGTAGACTTCAGGTTTTAATCTACACCGGCCAAGAACAGGAGCAGCTTGAGCGCACGCTGCTGCACCCTCCGCCATATTGCAATGTTTTTATTATTGTTCAAATCCAGACTGAAAACAGTTCTGTTTATCTGTGCATGTACCTGAAGGATTGTCTCTTTATTCTAATTAATTAGGCCCGAGCCCCGAATGGGGTAAGGGCCTATTGCTTTCACAATGGTGAATGCAAATGGTGGCGGTTTGTGACGGACGTGTCAACGCCCGCCACTCACCACAACATGACGGTTGCGTGCGTAAACTCAAACGCTTTAAAATGATGTATCACGTGCCATTGAAACCTATATTGTTTTTGCTCGAGACCAAAAAATGTCTTTCTTTTTTCTTCTGCACTTTGAGCCTTAATTTCACCCCCTGAAAATGACTGAAAAGTTGTTACATTTTGCCCAAAAATCAGACCTGGTGAAAAATTTGATGAAAATGTTGGTGTTTATTTTTATGGGACTCAAAACAGAACAGCGCCACCTACAACAGCCAAAATAATACCCCTATGTGAGTTTCGGAGATCAAGTTTGTCGTAGAGCCATGAAATTCAGAACACATGTTCCAAATATTATTATGGCCCCGCCCTCTGACAAACAGGAAGCCCATGAAGTTCACTGCAAAATGGAAAAATGAACAGCAAAAGTTTTCATACATGTCGGTTGGAAAGCGACTCCTCCTCGGCCGTTTCACCGATTCACCTCAAAATCGCTCCACATCATCTCAACACATGTACCTTCAAAATGACTTCGGCGATTTTTGATCAGTTGTCCGAGCAGCGGAGCGGCAAAATGTGAGGTTTTTTTGGCCGTTTTTGACACTATTAAATTTGCTTCCGTTTGCACATACAAAGTCTGATTTGCACAAAACTTTAATAGATTGTTCAGCTCTAGGGTTTAGGTCATGTAAAAGTGAAATATTTGAATTTGGCCCATTAGCGCCCCCTACAGACTGAGGCAAAGTTTTACATTGGAAGCCAAACCAACTCAACTAATCATATTCATTACAATTTCACAAACATTCTTTTATGGCTACGGGACCAAATAATGGCGCGGCTGCGCCACCTCCGATAAGCGGATGGCGTGGTGCGGCGCGGCGTGGTGCGGCGTGGTGTGACGTGGTGCGGCGCGGCTTGGTGCGGGGCAGCGTAGTGTGAGGCAGCGTGGTGCAGGGCGTTGTGGCGCAGTGCGGCGAGGTGCAGTGCGGCATGGCGTGGGGTGGCATGGTGAGAGGCGGCATGGCGCGGGGCGATGTGGTGCGGTGCGGCGAGGGCCGTTCGATGCCGCTTGCGGCTTTAATTAACTGTTATTATTTCATGTGTTGTGTGTAGGGCTGCAACAACGAATCGATAATATCGATAAAAATCGAATTTGGTTATCGATTCGTTGTGTCGCTTGATTAATACGTCATCGAGCGCGCGAGTTGGGCGCATTCTTGTAGTTCTATGGTTGAGCGGACGGACGCACATGCACCACAGAACTACACAACACTGCATGCACACTGCCGTAAAACTCCACAGAAGAAGAGCAGGGTGTGGCGAAGGTGGTCATTTTTAATACAGTCTACGGTGGAGGCAATTATTTGAGCAAGACCGCGTTGAACCAGTGCAGAAAAGCGACGCGAAGGGAGCGTGCGAGTGTTGTACCGCACTAACTTTAGACACTTTGCACAGAGTCAGTGGGAACAGTGTTTCTCAGGGTCAGGGCTGTCATTGGGAGGTTCGCAGACAGGTTAGATTTGCGGAGAACAAGCCTGAAGTCACGTCGGGGCGCCGCGCCGCGCCTCCAGCCTCTGCTAGTCTCCGGTAAAATCTCCGCAAATAGTGCCTCCCACAGATGTATTATCGTGCCTCCCGTCATCACCGGGACAGTAACGTGTTGGAGAAGCCTTTGTCTGGTGTTAGACGAGAGAGAGAGCGGGGGAGAGGAGAGAGAGAGCGGGGGAGATGAGAGAGAGAGAGCGGGGGAGATGAGAGAGAGAGCGGGGGGGGAGAGGAGAGAGAGAGCGGGGGGAGAGGAGAGAGAGAGCGGGGGAGAGGAGAGAGAGAGCGGGGGAGAGGAGAGAGAGAGCGGGGGAGAGGAGAGAGAGCGGGGGAGATGAGAGAGAGAGCGGGGGAGAGGAGAGAGAGAGAGCGGGGGGAGACAAGAGAGAGAGAGCGGGGGGAGACAAGAGAGAGAGAGCGGGGGGAGACGAGAGAGAGAGCGGGGGAGACGAGAGAGAGAGCGGGGAGATGAGAGAGAGAGCGGGGGAGAGGAGAGAGAGAGAGCGGGGGAGAGGAGAGAGAGAGCGGAGGAGATGAGAGAGAGAGAGGGGGAGAGGAGAGAGAGAGCAGGGGAGAGGAGAGAGAGCGGGGGAGATGAGAGAGAGAGCGGGGGAGATGAGAGAGAGAGCGGGGGAGAGGAGAGAGAGAGCGGGGGAGAGGAGAGAGAGAGCAGGGGAGATGAGAGAGAGAGAGGGGGAGAGGAGAGAGAGAGCGGGGGAGATGAGAGAGAGAGAGGGGGAGATGAGAGAGAGAGAGGGGGAGATGAGAGAGAGAGAGCGGGGGAGATGAGAGAGAGAGAGGGGGAGATGAGAGAGAGAGCGGGGACGAGAGAGAGCAGGGAAGACAAGAGACACATGTAGCAAATAGACACATTTTATGAAAATTCTAAAATCCACAATTTCCAACGCCATATGACGTCATAATATGCTAATTAGATGGGTGCACTTATTCCCTACATAAACTTTTGGCCATCCTTAATAATTCTGTCATTTACAGAAAGTCTTTCTCTCCTATCACTTTTAAGTTACAGCCTTTTGAAATAAAAATGTCAAAAGTTTTTGAGTATATGCACTCAACAACGTACAATTACCCTAAAAATGACTTAATTACACAAATTAAGTGCACGCCCCCACACACACACAGACACTCACGCACACGCCCACACTCACACACACAGACACTCACGCACACACACACACTCACACACACAGACACTCACGCACACACACACACTCACACAGACACTCACGCACACGCCCACACTCACACACAGACACTCACGCACACGCCCACTCACACACAGACACTCACACACACACACAGACACTCACGCACACGACACTCACGCACACGCCCACACTCACACACAGACACTCACGCACACGCCCACACACACACACAGACACTCACGCACACGCCCACACCATAGACTGTATATATTAACGGACAGAGTCACGCCTATCTCAGCCGTTCTAACTAATGGGCCAAAAAATGTGCTCTACTGGAGCAATCCAAAATGGCCGTGAGTGGTCCCGCCCACAACAAAATGGTGAAAAAACGCATCTGCGCATGCGTCAGCCGGCGCAGCTCCATTCATTTGAACGAGAGACTTAAAAAATTCACAGCAAGTAAACTAGAGTGGACCAAAACACCCCCCTCAGCTTTGACACACATGTGGAACGGAGCTTTGGGCCAAGAGCCAACTTTTGGTCCATCCTGTAAAGACGTTTTTGAGAGGTCTGCTAACGCTATAGAGATTTCTCACGTGACGTCACGATGCCCCGAACTCGCGGGGCATCCGCCATGTTGGAGGACAAACAAACACTGTGGGAGTGGCGTGCACCTGTCACTCCGCGTAAACATGGTGAATTTTTGTGCTGTGTTTGGCTGCAGCAACAGGGGAGAAAGGGACAATAAGTCGTTTTATCGACTGCCAGCTGTCCTTACTTCCCAGGGTTCCAAAACAGAAGAATTATCAAAGAAACGACGAGAGAAATGGCTGGCCAACATCTCCCGAGTGATTAAAACAAGCAGTCTCAAGAACGTCCGAATATGCTCTGATCATTTCATTTCTGGTAAGTAAAAATCATTTGGTGGTACCTTAAATGTTATTCAGAAACAATCAGAATTTTAAGGATGATATGGACTTATCACTGTCTTGACTGCAACATAAGTATGACACCACTTAAAACGTCCGCCAGCCGCGTTTTAGTTTTTATCTGAGTTCAGCTTGTCAAAGCACATTTATTTTGGTCTTCAAACCTTACAAGCTGTATATCATTTTAAAGCTTCTTTTCTCATCTGTTAACATACAAGTGCAGGAAATGCCAAACTTTACAATACAAAAATATGAAGCATAAAATGGGCACAAAAACAAAGCATTCGGATCGCATTTCTTACCTTTGGAAATGTGCTGTGTCTGTAATATTGTAATCCGTGATATCTGTGGTTAATTCCATAAATGTACATGGAAAAGCAATCTCCACTTATGATTTCTTAAATATAGTGTGGGTTTGTCCTTAGCCAAAAAAAACGTCTTCAAACACATTACAAGTGGCTCCTTCTCACTTTGCTGAGACTACAATGAATTTGGCCCTAAACAAATCCGATGCTCATGTTCTTCTTCTTCTTAGCTAAACAACGAGACCTTGGCTGAGGTGATCTGTGCTTTATTTATTTATCTCTTATAACAGCCGCGTTTGTAAAAAAGTACTGCCTCAGAGCTGATTTAGCGATAGCATCTTTTGGGATTATGTGTATCCTATCTTGCGATGACGTTTTTTTGCCAAGTGATTGATAGGTCTAAACAGCCTATGAGAATAGCTTTCTAACA